AAAAACTAGAAAACTACACGAAAGAAATCGATGTTTCGGGAGCCACCAAGAACTCTGAAACAAAATAGATATTTATATGAAATATATTTATAAATTACTCATAGCTTGTGCATCAAATACATGCGGTATTTTACCTTCGTGCCATAAGAGAGAGAAAAAAAAACAGGGTAAAAAAGAAGAAATTTTTATCTTATTTTTCTGTTTATCCGGTGCGGTTCGGGAAGCAGAATCAGAATGCAATAAATTCAACATTTCTAAATAATCATGACGGATGGCATTTGGTGCCCTTTGATATAGATCTATTATTCTTTAATGCTTTTGCAAATGGAAACCACAGTTAAGCCGCTAGCTGCATAACAATGAGACAGCAAATTGTAGAGAATATGGACTACGTAATGAACTTTATTTCGATAACTTTCAACTAATTACAGAACTTCTGATCAGCCTGCAAAGGTATATGAAACTATGATCTATGATCTAAGAAACTTTTCTATGTTTATTTTTGCGTTCGTATATTTAGAATCTAGAAGGCTACTCAGAAATAATTTGGAAAGATGCTTTGATCCGCCAGACCTTAGAAGAGCTGTACGTTCTACCAAAATGTTTTGTATTTTTAAAGGTTTCTCTGTATAACTGAAACATATCATGAAGAAAGAGAAAGCTCAACGATTGAATGCATGCCGAGTTGACATGCATTTTTCCAAGTTTGACACAAAATTTAATGTTAATTCTTTGCTCAGTCGTTATTCTTTAAAAACTCCATCAGACCTCGCACAGCATTATTTTTCAACAAGAAATTTATCACATTCACTTATGGATCCTGAGAAGCAAAAATAATTGCGATATTGTGTCAAAACAGCTGTTAAACATAGAACACATATTACGCCACACTGCAAAAGTGTTGATTACCGATGGTTAATCGTGTTGCGCAATCTGTGACGTCAGTCCCGTTTCTTTTTAGCCTTACCTCGTGTATGTCCGACATTAGCATGGACATGTTTTCTATTTTTAAGGTGATCTCAGGGCTGCAAGTGCAAGGCCGCAAGTGCGTGGGCACAACTTCCCCTTTGTGCACCCACGATATTGAATCGTAGTGCAAGCTTGATCAACCGGCGTTTTAACGTAACTATATGTTTTGAAAGTTCATTAGGAGTTCATGAGACTTGATACGATTTTGTTATCTGATTTTCGTGCACCTAAAAGCGTAGTTGCGGTTGTTTAAACTTTAGTATTGTATATCGAATAATAAACAGGGTATCGTGGCAATTTTCCATTCAGATTATAAAAGCTTATCTTACGAATTTGCATTCATGATATGAATCAGGATAGTCCTCTGCAGATAAACAGCATAAAAAATTACATTCCTTTTTACCATTTCACGATTTGATGGAATTTTAGAAAATAAGACTTTTTCGCTGTTTTTTCACCGTTATTTGCGATATACAATACCACGGACACAAATATTTGGTGATATTGCAATTCTAATAATTGTTTAATTAACAAATTTGCTGATAGAAAAACATAAAAGCGACTTGATTTTTTGTGTATTACAGAACCTCTTCTAGCTGCAAGACATTTCGATATGAGATAACCAACAGTGTATGACATTTATTAGTGTTACGGCAAAAGATGTCAGCTGACAGAATTGCATAACTCCGACTTAATGATGTTGTGAACACAGATTTTTGAAATGATTTTTTAAAAGAATGATGCGTTGACCCACCAGGGTCTAGGGAGGCCGTTAACATTGGTCCAAATATTATATTACCTGTTTTGTATGTCTAAGGCTTTAAGGTTTATAACTGAAATATTGAGAGTTGTACAATATTGTTTGGGAACAGGTAAAATGATTGAGATCCGCGCGCAAGATAATCTGGAACGCAACACAGCAAGCTTCAGCGGCATTTTTTGCAGCGTTCTTATCCAGCTACCCTTACAAAATATATATATATATATATATATTGAGTCATTATCCACGGGTATTTATGATATCAATTACGATGTTCGGCTATATGGAAGAAATCTTTCAGACAAAGGCTTATTCAAGTCAACTGAACTCGTGCATTCACAAGACCGCCAGATAAATACAATAAGTTCAATTATTTATTATTAAATAAATATACAAGGTGATAGTTGCGCTAGGTTTTGTCAATATGTCAAACTCGGTGATTATTTAAACTTATCCAAATTCGTATCCATCATAGGATTTGTTTCCGTATATGCAACATGGCTTATATTCGAAAATTAACTAAAAGAAAGAAATACGCTTGGTGTCGCTAAATTCACTGAACATACAAGACAACTCTTTCGGTGCCAAGGACGTCATTATACGTCATTCAAAAAAGAAAAATTTAATAGATAGAAGAAGTTCAAGTTCGGGTATTTGGAGCCTTTTTCTCTTTTCTCTCTCTTGTTGCCAAGTTGGGGGAAAAGAATGACGTCGTCAGCTAATCGCGTCATTCAAAAAATACCAAGATAGAAGGAGCGTCTGCCATGAAGTAAATTATCAACTTACTTTGCAAAGCCGATGTACATATTAACCGCAAATAATGATCCAAAATTTGAACACTTGGTTTCAACTTTTACCGGTGAAATGATTGAAAGGAGTGAGAGACCATATTATCAAGCATGTTACGAAGATGTAGAAAAACATGACGCAGTCCAACGTTACTAAACCGGGAAAGAATTTGAATATTTGTATATGCATGTTTATCATTATTGTAATTCATGCATGATAAACTATTCAAAATGTCTAAAAAACAAGTTACGCATATCATAAGTAAATGTTTCATGAAATGTTTCATAAACTCTATGAACCCTGACGTCTTTGCGCGAAGTTGCTCTCTCACCCGTGAGGTTCGCAGCGACTTATCGGCAGGACGATAAAATATTCCGAAATTTTGGTATTTTTGAACGTTTATAACTTTTAAGCAATTTTGGGAAACGAATTGACGGACGTCTGAAACGAAAGTAAATTTTATCGTCCTGTGAGGTAAATTGTTACTTTTTAAAATAAAGTTTGCCAAAAAGTGAGGAATTGATTTTAGTCGAAACATATTTTTTTCAACTTGTCAGTGAGATATGATTCGAAATATAGTACTTTAGTGGGAAATATAATACAAATAACACAGAGCTCCTCGCATGCTTTCAGCTGATACTTGAATTACTTCCGTAGCTATTGTATAACCCTAATTATAGCAAAATATGCAATCCTACATTTTTGTGTCGGATGAACGAGTTCAATAAGCGGCCATGACGTACTGATTACGTAGCTACGCAATAGCGATGACGTGACTGGTGTCACGAAGATGGGACTACGTGCAGCCGAGACGATTTGCCTCGCAAATTGCGTAAGAAAACAATTACGGAAAATCGTGTGTTCACGTTCTCGATAGGACATCAACTGACGAGTTTCGATAAAACTTTAACCTTTTTTTATCATGTCAACTTTAAGACACCAGATGCGTAAAATGAATATAGAAATTACACTTAGAAATAGTTCGTTTGCACGCCAATATTAATTCACATATTAACACAAATAAGTATTTGCTTGCCAAAAATATCAGATTGCATGAAATACTAGCCGGGCAAGTTTAAGGGGCTTAAGCTGACAGTGAAATTTAACGCTATACGCATAGAATGCGTAGCATCGGGTTAAGTAATGATTATGCACGGACAATATGAATGAATGATAACATCTCGCGTTACGTGTTTGCAAATATTGGTACCCTGTGTTGAGCCTGCGTCGTCGGTGTCGTAACGAAGCATTACGCCGACAAAATCGTCAGGTTGACGTAGCGACGCAGTCAAAGCTACAAAATATCAAACATATTTAGCTATAAAATTTGAATGGCTTGTCATACAATCGTTGCGAAAGTGTCCGTAGAAAGACATTCAAATCCTACAGTTATATTATCGATTGAATATGTGGCTATTCAGGCAAAAAATCAAAATTTTTTGATGTTTAATATTTGTTGTCATATAATAATTTCATACGCACTTTCAATTTGCCAATTTTACTAAACTATCGTCTAATAGAGCATCAATATTCACAATTTAAATAGTCCCAATGACCAGCTTTCATGCAATATAACATTTATTCAAATACTCATTGTGGTTCTTGAGATATGAGATCATAAAATTGATACAGTCTGACATGAAAAACAAGCCGAAAAACCGGCTTGCGGGGCACAGGGCGTACTCAAACAATCTTGCTTGCCGGATACAAGCGGTGTCGTACAGGGCTGCCACTCTAGATATTTTATATCTAGATCGAGATGTTTTTTTCAGGATTTAGATGTAAAATTTGGAGCCTAGATGTTAGCTATAAAATCTAGATATATTTTTTTCAAGGTTCGAAGCATTATTCAGTGGGAAATAAATAAAGAGATGTGTAAAATACTGTAATAGGTGAATAAATATTATTTCATTATTTAGAAGAATTGATGTAAGATTGATAAAACTCATTTATATTGTATTCTTCCACCGCTACCATACGTGACTATGATATTTAAATAACGAATTAAACATGTGACGTTTTAATTAACGTTAAATAGAAAGGACGAGGTTGGTTCGATGAGTCAGTGCTTAGTATTGCATTGTTGCCAAGGCTACAAGGGTGAGAATAACTTTGTTGTTCAAGTTGCTTACTCCTGTACTCCAAGACTTTAAAATTATAAAGTTATTTAAATCTATAGGTGATATTGAATTTGTCTCTCTTTAAACATCAACCTATCGAAATGCCAAAGTGTATGCACTACCAGCAAAAATTTAGAAAAGATTGTCTTAAGGAATCAACCTTTAAGGAATGGATTGCTCATTCAGATGATAAGAACAAAGCCCGTTGTAGTTCTACAGGTGGGAATTGAATTCTAGGTTATGATGTGAGCTTCTTCGACATCCAATATTACTGTATTATGTATTAAAATGCTCCTTTTTTGTCAATTTTCATTAAATTCAATGACTTCATATCTAGATGTATTTTCTAGATGTTTTATTTTTCAATCTAGATGTTTTTAGTCAGGCAAAAGTGGCAGCCCTGACTGTTGTATTATTGATAGGGCTCCGAGAAACTCAGCATGAGAGAGCAATTCCGGCAAGGTACGCATGTGTAGGTGAGTTCTTTTACCTACGATTGATGTGTTGGAATGAACGAAAACTGATGACACCACTAGGTCCGCCCCTTTCCCGATCAATTAAAAACTAAATACGAGAGAGAATAAATGGGTGAGAACTCTCTCGTTTTCACCTTGACACGGAACGGGAAAATTTAAAAAAACTGACAAAAGGCCTATACATAACTTATTTCGTTGGTATTGAAATATATTATCAAGCGGCAATTTGTATTTAATTCTAAACTACCAAGAAAAAACGCAAAATACTTTATTACCTCAACGTACTGTTTATCATGTGCGGCTACAAGGAATCTAATTGCGACAAATTTAGCATTTTACGAGAACTCTGTTTATTATGCCATAATCAATGCAAAAAATAGTTTCAAAACACGATGGGTTTTATCATATATGCGCATCAAATCACAGTAATGTTAAACCAGACTATAGACAACCAGAAGTGATGATCACGATTTTAACTCTTTGAACCCTGAAAGCCGCTAAACCGGCTTTCCCGAGAAAGTCTTCTGACGCTGAAAGCCGGTTTAGCGGCTTTCGCATCCCGTAAGAGGTATGCAACTTTGAAACCTCATATCTCGCGAACCATTTATTATATTTAGACAAGTTTTACATCGTGTGAAAGATAATCTACAGGACTGAGTATAATTTTAAAATTAAGATAGAATATTGTGATCATCTTATGAAAATTGGCAAAATTAAAAAGCATAAAAAACTTCTGAAAATTGCTCAAATCTAATTGACAAAACTTAAATTTGTTTTCGATTAAACCTAGTACATTATCGACAAAATTTGTAGAATTTAAAGATAGCTTTCCAGTGATACCATTAGATTGAACTTATGTTGCACCATTCAAATTTTAGAAGCATTTTTATTCGTGATTTTGTTTGTCGCAAGATCGAGGTGACGTAAATAACGACCTAACACATTTACGCCGTTACGCAGCGACGTTAAGCACGTAGCACGTTTACGTTTCATACGAGAAACACTTTTCCTCGCATGCTCGTAACGTCATTTACTTAAGTTCGTACTCGTGAAGCGACTTACGACTTGTAAACGATACACGGGGAAATTTACGCATTACATCGGTTCGACTAAAACACACAATACGCAGTGTTATTGCCGTTTTAATTGCATAAAGATATGAAAAATACGAATAGCAAAATTACGGATTTCTAAAAACGGAATGATGGAACATATCGATGGATGCATTGTTTAGCGCCATTGCTGAGTTTTATTGTGCCATATTTTCTTCTTCCGATAGATGAATACTATCCAATATTTCATCTGGACAAAGCTTTCGTTTAAAATCCATTGTAAATATAGCGATAACAGGAATGTAGCGTATATGCAGTAATTTCGAAAATCTAATGAGGCTGCAAAATGTAAAACACTGGCCAGGTGAGCTACTGGTGCCACCATGTCTTCCGTGTACCCGTTATCAGTTTTTTTTTATTCAATCTTCATGATATCCAACGGTGAATAATTAGCCTTGATGTTTCCGGCGGAACCTCATAAATTCATGAGGATCAAATATTTCGTTTTGGCCATTCATTTTCGTCCCATATCCAAATAGTAAACGTATATAAAATGGCCTTTATATTCTAGCAATTTTACTATGTTCGATCAAAATTCGTCTGAAAGGGTTTTATCTGCGGCCGAGGATATGATACTAATGCAATGAAGCCACCATCTGCACTCAAGCTGTGAACGACCAGATGTGCAATTGCGCAATATACCTCACGCAAAGAGTTACGCACGATACGTCGCATGAACGTTATCACGACAATGTCGTCGTCGCCCTTTGCGTCCTTACGCAAACTTGGCGTCAAATAGTTGATAAATTTTGTTCCCAAACCATTTGAATCGATAGTACAAATTCTGCAATAAAATGAGTTATGCGTATGTTAAGAAAGTCATACGTATATTCTCCGAAAGGTAATTTTGTATACTTTTCAAAATTGTACTTATATTAATGATACATTTCTAAGAAATGTATTAAATATTACCAAAATACAAAAAAATAGTAGATGGGGCTACAAATAGGCTTACACATCTCATCAAAACATCTCGTGAAAAATAATGCCAGTTAAAAATAAAAGACTAGATAAGCTTTTATATGATATATTACAGACCATCTGATATCTAATGGTTTAGAAGTTATTTTGATTTAAAATTAGGGATATTACAATTTTTTAACGCGTCAAATCGATGCGACGCCGTGGGAAGTCAGGGTGAGAGAGTAGCATCGTTCTGGGGATTCAGAGTTCAAAGAGGTAATAAAGCTTTCATTTAACAATCAACCTTTTCCTAATCTTCATGTAAATCTGAAAAATTGGCACAACTCCTGATTCGTCCACGAATATTTACGGTCTATAATAAATATTTTTGCTTTGCACCGGATAAATAATTGCTTCTGATGTCAGCACTAGAGGAAACATTTTGAAAACAGTTTCACATAAAACTAATATTCGGTAAAAAAAAGGTTAGCTTCAATATTTGAAGAGACATTTATTCAAGATTTTGCTTAAATGCTCGGTTTTTCAGAAAACTTGTGTAGGAAATCCGTTAAACAATGAAGATAATAATCTTCGCTATCTTGATTGTTGGAGTCTGCGGATACAAAGAAAAAAACGAAGTTAATCTCAAAGATTTCTATGCTACATTCGATCCTGAAGTACGTTAGTATGATGTATGAGGCTTTGCTTTTAAATAATTTCGTGCAGCAATATGTAGGCTAAAATACTAATGTCATTAGAACAATTATCTTATTTTTACGGAACATTGACAAAAAATTCAGTTTTCAAAACCTCCATCTTTTTTTTCATTTTACATTAAAACACTTATTTTTTTTCCAGATATTCAAGTACTGGGCAACGAAATTTGATTTCCCGAAAGAAAAAGGACTTGATTTCGAAAACACTCCAGAATGCAGAGATTTCAAGTAATTTTTAATGTTATTATTTTTCCCCTTTGAACCACGTGAAATTGCTAACCCATCGATTGTTTGTTTCATCTTGGAAGAGCAAGTATAAATAGATTAGTATTCAACAAATCAAAATCAAACAGCAAAAATCTTTAAAGTCAATTTGCGACCTATAAATATGTTATATTGACTATATCATTTGGTATTCCCAAAATTTCGTTCTATCTGGAGTATCAAGACAATCCCGTTTGTGCTGCTGATATAGTAATAAATCGATAAGAAGTTTTTTCGTAGTTAGTAATAAAACTCATAATTTGATGTACAGAGATTTCCCCCACCGGAACGATTCATGTCCTGTGCCAAAAGGCATCGGCTACAGCGGTGACTTGGTTTCTGATTGCAAAGAAATAAAATGTATTCAGAAATCTTTCTACGGTTCAACAAAATGCAGAAAAAAAGTTCGATTATTTAAGCCTTTTCCTCACGCCGCAGTTGAATGCAAGTAAGTCTCTTTGTTATTTAACGATGGGAATTATTGTGGGATTCATTATGACGTTATTTAAAAAATTAAACTGGGCTAATGTGAATACACTATGTTCTCAATATGACCAAGTATCCCTAACAAATGCTATTTGTGAAAACAGGAAAAGAGAAGTGGCGCTGAATGCAATCACTAAAAATTAGCATATTCCTGTTTCATACATGATACTGACTATATGAATGCATATATTTGAAAAATCGAATTGGAGGGTAATAAAATTGAAAAAAATATTTAGTTTGCTTAATTGTATTCTCATCTCAATAAATAAAGAAAAAATAATTATTATGGCGACATGTCAATCTTATAACAATTGTCATGTATTTCGGTATAGTCGTATTGTCCTGAATCTTTTTTAAAATGGTGATATTTTAAGAAAAATGGAAGAAAGCTGCAAATTGTTCAAACCCCATGATGACAAAGAGTTGTACCCGAAACCTTCAAACGACGAGAAATCAGGTTTGTATCCGGAACCCGCAAAAGATGGAAAACCACATTTGTATCCGGAACCCACGAAAGATGAAGAATCACATCTGTATCCCAAGCCAGAGAAAGACGAAGATGATGAAGAGATCTCGTGTAAATGCTACACTATTTGGTGCTTCCGTGACATACACACAATTTACGAGGACGGCGGAAGGCTATACAAAGGAAATATTGTTTTAAAGGTGCGTTGTTATCGTAATTGAGTAATTCCCAGTCGATCAGAAATAGAGTTTTCAAAAGTGGTATGATTTCAGTCTACAAGTGAAGTTTTCATTTTCATCTTCATTTTCGCTCCTTACATCAATATCAATTCAATCTAGATCACTATCTCTTCTTTGTTTTAACGTCGAAACTACGGTATCATAACTGATGATACATGTCAGAATATGAACACGTTGATCACCAATTTTATATGAAAGATGATTATGACCAAGAAATCAAGGACTTGGCCGCCATTTTATCAAAATCTTTAATTAATTAGGTCGCAAATCTATTGGATTTTAATATACTATCAAAGACGCTTGTCCAATGCCAGTATGTCTTGAGCATTCATTCTCTTTGTTATAATAATAACAAGTGACCAAATAATGACTTATTTTCAGACGCCGTGTGGATGCGAGTGCAGGAAACCATACCATTCTCCATACTATTGAAAAGGATAACATTTTCAAGGAAATAGAAGTTCTGCATTAATATTGTTTCATGTACAGTTGATCACTTATGTCCATGAATGAATTAAAATATTTGCGAATTACAACTAAATGTAGTAATGAGTGATTATGGGTATCATCTTACTTATGCTGTATGATTGAACAGAAAATAATTGAAAGATTGTGAAACGTAGCACTGTGCAAGAAAAACACTGTCTGCTGAAAAACGCAAATAATTTTATGCAGTTCCACTAATATGCAGTTCCTCACGAGATGCATACTATCAGTATTGTATGTAATTGTATCCAAGACTTTCATTGGGAAAATTACATGTCTCCTATAGCCTAAATGAAAAATGTTAAATATATTATGAGTCAATGTATAATAAGAAGACAAATTTGAATAACAGAACAGTCGCTGTTAGAGATGCGCACGTTGGGTGGATGTGCTGATATGGAGTTAAAAATGTCAATTTCTCAAGCAAACGTTTAATAATTTCATTCTGAAATAAAATTGTTGAAAAAGTTTTGCGCACACGCTCGCAGTCAAACTTGAGAGATCGCATAGATTAATTGAGGGCAGGTCGTTCAACCTAAATATTTCAATAACCTGCTAATGTCGCGCATAGCCTCCTACTATTTCAGTTATATACGAAAAGCCTTAGACATACAAGACAGGTACTATTTTGACCAATGTATACAGCGTTTCAAGGCCCTGGTGGGTCAACGCATCATGATTTTGATAAATCATGCTGAGAATCTGTGTTCACAACATCATCAAGTCGCCGTTTTTCGGGTGTCAACCGGTATCCACTGCCATAACACAAATAAATGTCATACATACACTGTTGGTTGTATCATATCGAAATATACTGCAGCTAGAAATAGTTCTGTAATAAACAAAAAACAACACAAGCCGCTCTTGTGTTTTTCTATCTGCAAATTTGTTAATCATACAAATATTAGAATTGAAATATCACCAAATATTTGCGTCCGTGGTATTTACTGCATGTCGTAAATAACAGTGAAAAAAACAGCGAAAAAAGATTATTTTCTAAACTTTCATCAATTCGTAAAAAAGTAAATGTAATTTTTTTATGGTGTTTATCTGCAGGGAACTATCTCGATTTATTTCATGAGTGCAAAGTCATAAAACAAGTTATTATTATCTGGAATTTCAAATGTTTATTATGCGAAATACAATACTAAATTTCACACAACCGCAACTACGCTTTAAGTGCACGAAAATCAGATAACAAAATGTTATCAAGTCTCGTGAACTACAGTAATAAACTTTCAGTTAAAATGCCTTGATGATTTAAAAGGTCGGTTGATTAAGCTAGTACGAATCAGTTTCGTGGATAAACAAAGGATTATGCGCTCGCACCTGCAGCCTGGATTATGCTGTAGCTTGCAAAAATAGATCGATGGCCGGTATAATTTAAATCCTGAGATTACACATGTCCATGCTAATGTCGGAAATACCTTCACGATTTATTTCAGTTATACAGAGAAACCTTTAGGAATACAAAACATTTCGGTAGAATGTACAGCTTTTCTAGGGTTTGACGGATGAAATCATCTTCCCAAAATATTTCTGAATAGCCATCTAGATTCTAGATATACGAACTCAAGAATAAACATAGTGTCACGTCTTCTGATAGCCCGGAATCTATATAGACGGGGCACAATAAAAAGGTATCGAACGCGCCACTCTCAGGCCCTTCATCCACAAACAAGGCACATGCATAAATCAGTTTCTTCTTATACACCTGGCAAAGAACAGAGGTTTTATTAAATAAATAAAACACAATTAACTTAATTCATAATACTTATATCGAATCTATTACTACAATAACAACAACAAATGCCAGAATTCTTACCAAACGCTTTCCGATGCGGGTGGCTAATGCAATTAGAACAAGAGAGCTATGCTCAAATATATGGACACGTAGCGCCACCCAGTGGCAATAATTTTGATGACGTCATAGCGAAAAAAAAAGTAATAGCCTTCTGGAGAAAAATTTTATCTTTAACCACTAACCACGATTTTTTAAAAATGGAGACGGAGACAAATAACAATAACAACAAAATTTTGAAACGATCGTTATGGCCACTAAACGTGTCCAACAAATGCCAGAATTCTTACCAAACGTTTTCCGATGCGGGTGACCAATGCAATTAGAATATATATGTATATATATATATATGTGTGATAAATAAATTAACCGTCCACGATACGGAAAAATAACTGTGGCTCACGCCGAATACGTGATGCAAAAATGACAACAAGGAAAAGGGTACACCAGGCAACTGATAAAACTACTAATTCAGGCTACAACCAGGAGAAAATAAAGTTACAATGCGTCTACAATAATTGGTTGCAAGACATTTCACAACGCATTGCATACGGACACAACATCTACGACAATTTGCAATATTTTAAACCTAATCCTTTGTAACGCATAGATTGAAAAGTTTCGTATACCTATGCAGGCTGATCAGATATATAAGTTCTAAGTAATTAGTTGAAGGTTCTTAAAGGTCGTAATATAGTTCAATACGCGGTTCATATTCTCAATACATTTTGCTGTCTCATTGTTATGCAGCTAGCGGCTCAACTGTGGTTTCCATTTTGAAAAGCAACAAAGAACAATAGATTCATATCTAAGGGCACTGCATGTCATCTGTCAGGATTTATTGGAAATGTTGATTTTATTGCATTCCGATTCTGCTTCTCGAACCGCGCCTGATAAACAGAGCAACAAATAACAATGTCTTCTTTTTTATCCTTTTTTTCTCTTATGACGTAAAGGATAAATACAGCATGTACTTCACGAACATATATAAGATATGAGTAATTTATGAATATATTTCATCCAAATATCAATTTTTTCCAGTGTTTTTGATGACCCCTAAAATTTTCGATTTGATTTTTCCTGGCGGTACATGTCTTTGGACAATATATAAAGCTTTCCGTTCAATAGGATCAGGCAGGCCCTAATATTATTTTGTTTAATTTTCTATAATTTGTTTAATAAAAACTTTAACTACATTTAGAATATACGATGATATTGATTGATATGCCCAAACCCTACATCTACAAAATTAAGGTAATATTTTTTAATAGTTTTATCAGCTTTTTCAGATTAAATCTAAATTTGCACATCATAAACTCAGACGAAACTGTTTGTTACTATTTTATCGTGGTTTGATTTATACAACATGCCCTAATCCCACAATACTGATTGATTCCTTGATCTCTTTGGTTTACGTCAAAGTTCTGATAAAATCTTATTTTATGTATCTGTGTTTAGATATTATAATCAATAAAGAAACGATCTGCCTGTACAGTACCCAAAATATTAAACCACTTAAATTGAACATGCCTTGACGAGAAATATATATTCAAAACACATGCGTGGATAAATGCTCGGAATTACGTCATTCAATATTTAATACAAGATCAATGTGAAAACATAAGATATAGCAGTAGCTTGTTCAACAAATCTATGTGCGACGTCAACTGTAGCACCTCCTTACATGGAAGTGGATGCTCGTTCATAGCTTTTTCGGATCGAAACACCAGCAAACACGCCGAAAAACAACTTTTAAGTGAAAAATAAAATGACTGAAAAAATAAAATGATTTAGAATATTTATGAAACATATTATAAATCACATATTCAAAATCAGTTTTATCAATAAAATATATTAATGAGTCTATATATTTAATATATACTGAATATTCGTAAATGGCTATGGGTATAGATAGGATTTTATAGGAAATATTAAGAAGGCTAGCATAAGAGAGTCATCAGACTAGTAACAAAATATCTCATTGTTCTAATCCTTCAAATTAAGATAAATTTTTAATCAGATTGTTGTTTTGTTAATCAATAAATAGATATATATATATAAGAGCATAACGAATAAATTTATCAACAATCCTATACCAATATTTCGATAATTAGTAATTATTGTGTCAATTTGAAGAACAAATATCTCAGAACATTGTTAATCGATGTTTATGAATCAGATACATGTTTGGCGGGTCACTGAACTCAATGAACTTGTAACTCAGTTCTGATATATGTAACTTACCATAATATGTAACTTACCATGAGCTTATCGCATTTTTTTAGTTAACTTTTTCTGTGGTTGTGTGTGTGATATAATTTAATAATTTTAGGTGAGTGAACACGTACCACTGCTTTTATGCAAAACATTCTATCTTATTTTTTTTTGTACGTTTTAAATATATCTAAGGTTTTGTTTGCTCTCCAGATTTCATAATCAGTTTTTATTTATTTGTTTTTATCAATCATTTTATTGTTATGCTGATTATGGAGTCGAAATAAACTTATAGTTATACTTATAAAATACTAGGGTTTCAGACAGCGCGAAGTCACAATCCCCTTGTAGTCACGAGAGTGGGCCCCGTGTGTGCTCCTCCATTTTATCTGAAATCAAATGATTGCGTTTCCGAAGCCTCGCTGGCGTGCCGAATAAATGGACTCGCGTGTCAAGTTTAGCACGCGCACCAGGGATTGCCCACCTCTGGCATATACAGTCAAAGCCATAAGCATGTACAGCAAATGTCAAATTTATAAACAGCCGAATCATATACATGAAAGGCCACCCATATACATACATGCGCGTATATGCGTATCACATTCGCTGCATATATATATCTATATATAACTCGAATAGCGGTATATGTATATTGAAGTGACTGTATATGCATATGAGTTAGCTGTATAAAAATGTGAATAGGCTGTATTTACATATGGCATTTGCTACATATGCCATTTGCTATTTATGCATATGGCATTGGTGATATATGCATATTACATCGTCTGTATATGCATATGACATTAGATGTAAATGAATATTGGTGCCTATATGCATATAGGTTGGTTGTGTATGTATATGACATTGGATGTGCGTGCATATGACATTGGCTGTATATGCATATTTACTTGGCTTCATATGAATTAATTTGGCTCTATATTCTCTGTTTGTGCAT